CTTTAAATGACATGTTAACACTGATAATGTGTCTCTGGTATAGTATATAGTATTGTATGTATGTATGTAGTCTTTATTTATTCATCTTTACAGTGAGTTTCAGTGTGTTGTTTCAGAGATAAAGCTGTAAAAAACTCACTGTGCAGTACCTGCTCAGCTGCAAACATACGCAGTTAGAGACTAACTGGGGAAGATAATGGAGCATTTAGCAGCTGAAGAGACACATATTTCCCTCTGGAGTTGGTGGAGGCCATATTAAAGACCAATAACCAACTATTTGATAACAAGTTCTACATTATGCTTGTTTCTTGCAAGTTTAAGTTGAAGCTAGAATTCATTAAATGACTAAATCTTAAGTATTTGATTCAATAAAATGTGATTAACTCCAACCCTGATCACTGGTACGTTGTTTGTTTCATCCATCATTTAAATGTTGGCTGTAATGCTTGTTCCAGCCTCTAGGGGGGCTGCGAACAGGGCGTCAGGATTTTAATGCAAAACAGAACAGATCTGCCTCCGTTTTTAGGTTCCCAGTGATGTGAGAAACTTGACAAGATAGAGAGTGTGTGTGTGTGTGTGTCAGAGAGAGATGATAATACAGTGTGTATTATCATCTCCTGCCATTGGTTACCATGGTAATGGCCAAGGGAGCTACATTTTCAGGACACACACACACACACATCTTGTTCACACCTAACAATGAAAAGCATCCTTGTGATCTGACCACAACTGGGCCGCTTCAGAATCCAGTTCCTGTGTGTGTGTGTGACGGGTTTCGATCAGGATCCGATCAGTTCTGGACACATGATGGATGCAAATGTAGTCAAATGCTTCCTCAACTTCACTGCATGACAGAAAGTGCTGGAAATCAACTTCATTTAGCACCAAACAACTGAAACCATCGCAGATTAACAGCTAAACTCCTGAATTATTCCGAGTTAAAGAGTCACATTAACATTAACATGAATTTACAGACGGTCTGGATCGGACTAATGCAAGACCATTGTCAAACACACACACAATGACAGTGTGTGTGTGTGTGTGTGTGTGTGTGTTATCAGTGCTGTCCAGCTTCTCGGCTTTTTCCTGCCAAACATCCGTTTCCTTGGCAACCCAGACGGGAAACCGGAAGTGTTGGTCACAGGAAGTACTTCTAATCTTTGTCAAGTCTTTTTTACATTTTTTTAATTTTTTTATTGTTTTCTTGTTTCCAACATGTCCTCCTGCTGTCGGCGTTGCCATAGAAACATCCCGGTTCCACAGACCCACACACGCCAGCTGGTTAGCATGCTGTTAGCTATTAGCAGGCTACCAACTGGCTACCAGTATGCTAACAGCCCTCTGCTAATAGGCTAAAGGTCAACAGCTGGTTCCTATAGCAGACTGCCCATCGTATGCTGCTAACTGACTAATCAGTAAACTAACAGTAATCTACTATAAGGCTGCTAATAACTAACTTCTTTAACATGACAGAAAGACATAAAATTGAGTGATGTTAGCTGTTAATCTGATATCAAAGGTCAACAGCTGGAAACCAAATTTTCAAGTTGGTTAAAAGATGAGAGTCACATGTATCTAATCACGTATATAATGTTAGCAAAAGATAACTAGCTGATCTGCATATAGTTTACTATAGTTTAGCTGGAAAGTTTAATCTGATAGCTAATTACCTATCTAACAACATTCTGCTAACATTATTTAATTTAAAATGTGACTATGCTTTGTGTGTTGCTTTTATCTTTTAACCATCTTCAAAATGTGGTTGTCTTTTCGACATAGACTATCTTAGCACGTAGCAAATCCAAGTACATGTTAGTGCCGATATGTAGGTTAATGGTGCATTTCATTTACCTCGGAAGTCTGAAGTCGGAGCTGAGAATAATAATATAGTTAATAATAACAACGCATTTTGTTTAGTAAGCATCACCTTACATCATATAAAACAGCAACAACATTACGATCAATAAATCATACACTAAACAACAGGGCAGCAATAAGTTAATAATCTATTTTATAAAACAAGATGCATTTAATATAATTAAATCGAAGAGGCTAGTTTAAGAATCGGTTCTCAAAGTTTGACTGGATGGATGAAGCATTTGGACAAACATGGCAGCTGTCTCCACTTGCTTTATATGCAGCTCTGCTCTGTTTCCTCCTATGTTGTCTTCCATCACACACAATCCAGTTGTTATCACTGAGTTACTGTGTCTCTGTTTGCAGACACAAGCTTCACGAATGCTAACTGCTAACTCAGGCTAACAATAATCACTATTCTGCTGCACTAGTGAGTCCCACCACCGGTTTTCTAGTTTTTGTGCTCGCCTGAGAATAGAAACAGGAAGACGGATCAATATTTAGAACTTTACATAATACTACCAGCGTAGCAGCAGATAGAAACAGCGTTTACGACTCTTTCGGTCGGTCCTTGTTGCCATGCAAACCGTTACAACTGCTTCATATTGTGTAACTGACTGAACCTGAAATGGCCTCCACAAAATGAAACTGTGTCTGACCCAATTCTGATTTAAACTGCAAGACAGCACGCTCCGCTGTCTCTGTAACACTCCTCTCCTGACATGTTGTTTTTTTTTTCTTCCCCTCCCTTCCCCTCCTTCATATCCTGGCCTCCCTCTCCTTTACCTCCCACCCGCCTCCTCCCTATCTTCCTCTCGCTCTTCCTCCCTCTTTTCCTCCCTTTCTACAGGATGGGCAGGGCAGCTCCCAGAATACAATCTGAAACTCTGAGATCTCTCACTCTGCTGCAGGATTACTACTCAATAACTACAGTTAAACTAAGCGTTGACTGTGAAGCTGCTTCCACCTCCTGCGAATTCTGCTCATTCTACAAGAGGAACTAAAGCATCTTCGGAAACTAATTCACCTCCAGCAGAAAGTACTCATTCTATCATTCACAGGATTACAACAATCCACCAAAAACTTCTCTGAAAGCTGCTCTGCTGAGGTCCAAGCAAATCCACAACCCAACCAGAGACACAAGAACCTGGCACCTCAAGCTGGAACAGAACTAGAAGCCAGAATCAGGCCAAACCAGTACCGAACCCGTAATCCAGCCAGACTCTGTAGAGTGGATCAGACCAGGCCAGGACAGACCAGAAGAGACCAGTAGAAATCAGTAAAGGCCATTGGAAAAGTTTGATGGGACTGCTGACGATAGGTAAGTGTGGTGGTGTAACTGCCTTTCTTTAATACTGGAAGTGTTGAATTTATCTGCCTGGAACTAAACCGGGTTGGATCTGAACTAGTCAGAGTAAAGTACACCCTTTAGTTCTGCTCCCTCCCTCTCAGTCAATTTCAAATAATGCATCAGAGACCTGCAAAGGACAGCGACTTTAGAGGGCGTGGCCTCGACACTGACCGCAGTGATTGACAGACTGGAGCTGGAGCTTTTTTACGGTCACTAGAAGCACATTCATGAACGTTTGTAATAGTTGCTGTGTGTTGTAGCTAAGCTAGTGGCTCAGAGAGGCTGTCAGTGTCGGATCGAGGTAAAGATCGCAGTCCGGTGGTCCTACAGTGTCTAAAGTCCGAACAACTGCGTCACAATATAAACACACTAAGTGGAGGGTTAGCAACAGCTAGCATACCCTCCTGTGAATGATGCTCCCACTTAAAGCAGAGGTTGGGGAAGGTTGGCCCTCCTCTGATTAGAGGGCGTTAACACTGTTTTTTTTATATAAATATAAATGTAAAGTCGTCCCAAACAGTCGACTCTATGTCAGTAACTTTTCATACATTTGGTAAAAATAATTTTAACAGCAGCATTGACGTGTTTCCTCACAGTACACTCATATAACTCATGTCTTCGGGTGGAGTATCTCTTTAAATAGAACCAGGATGTGTCTGAAATCACTGACCTCCTGCCGGCCGCCATTTCCACTTTTGTCCCCTAACTTCTGGTTCCTGTTGCTGACAAGTCAAAAGTCTCCGTCCTGATTGGTTCCCACAACCTACTACACATGATCTTTTTCCCCAGATTCATTTATTACGACATACAGATGTCAAAGAATTACTTTTCAAGCATCAGTGTTATGTCTCGTACAACATACAGCAGGAAAATAAAACCTATAAAATGTAGAAACTAAAGTGACTAAATCAGATTAATAACAATAATAATAATAAAAGATGTACATGTTGGTCATCAAATAGTAAATGAATGCAAATACATTAATACAATAAAATAATATTACAAACCCACCACAGGTACAATAAACTAATTAAATAAAACTATTAGATATCATTCAGGAGTAGCAGCAAACACAAATCTCTCAACCTGTGCAGACAAAAGTCCACACATCCTGTTACATTTAACTAAATCCTTAATAGTACACCTGATTTTTACACTTTAACTAATTAAAACATGTCCTTGATCCATGAGGAGTGAGAGGACTTTCAGCTAATAAGGTAACAAATGCAATTAAATCTATATAACTTGTTATTTACCACATCCACCACAGATATCCGACTGAAAAGACCAATTTTGTGTTAACTACCTTACTGCTAGCTCAACTAGCTTAGCAGTAGTACATTAGCTTGATGTTTCTGTGGTGACCATTTTCAAGAGCCCTGATCCTGATTTTTCTATTAATATTGCTGCAATAATACAGCACAGAAATATGGTTCAGATACTGTCCGAATCTGTATACTCTCAGCTTCCAAGTGTATATTCTCGTAAGAGCGTACATGACTCCCACAGCACACTACGAGGAAGAGAAGTCTGCCTTTCAGCGTGCCTAATTGGTGGGTTTGTGTATCAGTCTACATCTTTGTGAAACTAATTTATTAGACATTTAAATACTATTTCATTTATATATTTCATCATTTTTGGGAACCTAACACCTTGATAAACCCATTTCAAACACCAAAACAAAAGCTTTACAGTCAAATTATCTCTTTACACAGAGCTCTAGGACTAATTATACAGATAGTGGAGGTATATCTGCACATTTTGATGTAAAACATGTGTATCATCATATTATGTAAGTTACCTTTTAAAGGTGAATATAAGAAGATTGGCATAACTTTGATGCTGGTTATTAAATATAATATTCATAGGTATGTTTTCATTAGTGTATAATCACCTGGATATAGGAATAGTTGTACTTTTGTTACCTTAGAATGAGACGTTTTTATCCTCTAATACGGAGTCCGCCACGGCATTTCACTGTCACTATAGTTTAGTGAGGTGAAGGGGTTGTAATCTGCAACCACTGGATGCCACTAAAAGGTACACACTGCTCCTTTACACAAACGATTACTAATACACATTCACACACCGATGCTATGCATCAGGAGCAATTTGGGTTTCAATATCTTGCTCAAGGATACTTCGACACGTGGCAGGAGGAGCCGGGGATTGAACCAACAACCTTCCGATTGGGGGACGACCCGCTCTGCCTCTGAGCCACAGCCCGCCCCCTGGACTGTCCTCGATGTTTGTTCCCATCTCTGTACTTCCAATTGTTCCTCCAAGACTTTAAAGAAAATGATTAAAGTATAATCCCACCTCCGAATGTTTATGGTAACCCCGCCATACTTTTTTTCTTTTTTTTGACGGTTAACTTTATTAAGTCAACATGGTGCATACAAATCATACATCAATAAACGCCCAGGGGATACAACGATACAGAAGCAGCTTTCATACAAAACATTGTAGTGTACATAATTCAGTTTTAACAGCTTTCATGGTTGGATGGATTTTTATAGACTTAATAGTATTGTTTGGCTTCATTTTCAAAGATAAGAAGAGAGGTTTTTGATTAGTGTAACGCATTTATGAATATGCCAGTTTGGCTAAAAGTATCTAGATTGTATATAGTATTTGTTTTTCTTTTGCAGAAGATTGTTTAGTGAAGCCAACAATTATACTGTTCAGCATAGGAAAATGAGATTCAACGAAAGATCATGTTGCATTCTTCCATAATTTGGTTAGAAGGGCAGACCAAAATAATGACATCTTCAGTGTCCTACCAGAAAGAGCAGTTTAAATTATATCTTTTAAATTGTTGTAAACTTTTGCGGATCTATGATTATTTTTAAGATACTTCTTTCCTTTTAATTATTATATATAGGGTAAGTTCCAGATTCTTTTTCAGTTGATTTTAATAAGTTCTGTTCCAATATATTACATATGGCGTTGAACGCTTCTTTTGATAGGCGTGATATTCGGTTACTATTGCGTGTTGAGGAGAACAATTTGCGTTTAGTGTCGGTCTGGTTGGATCAAAGGGCAATAATGTTGGATTTTGTCCTAATGTACTTTTAAATAACATAGTTACTCAAAAAAAAAGATTTTTGCCAAAAGCGTTCAATTAATGATTGGACAGTTTTAGACACAGTGTCATGTTTTAGAATAGAGCTGTTCAGTTTCCAATATGAACTTCTATGGTGAATATTAGGATTTAGAGAGATTTGTATTGAAATTGCTTTGTGGTCTGTTAAAGGAGTAATGAGGATATTGACATCGATAATATTACTATCAAAACGGTTAAAAATCAACCAAAAGTCAATGCGTGATAAGCTAGTATATGTTTTACTGCTCCAAGTATATGAACTCACACCAGGGTTTTTTTCTCTCCATATATCGATTAAGTTGAATTTATGCATAAATTGTATTAAATTGGAGGCCATATAATAATTGGATCGCGGAGGCCACCTATCTTGAAGACCATCCAGAGCAATATTAAAGTCCCCCCCCCCATCACTATCATTCCGTTTGGATATTTAGAAAGCCAATGTAAGAAGCGAGATTCTAACACATCAAGCAATATATCGTTTTCACCCTTCGAATTGTACCCATACAAGTTAACTAGTAAAATTACAGTATCATTGATATTAATAATCAAGATAAAGAAATGACCTTTAGGATCACCTTCAGAATGTAAAATTTAGCAGTAAAAGTAAAAAAGAAAGTACTAGGAACAAGTACTATAAAAGGTAAAAAGTCTTAAGTACTAGAAGAATATAGGGAACAGTCTATCCCTTAATAAAGTAGAACAGTAATACTATATAATCCAGTGTTAAACAATCTCTACATGAGGTAGACAATATCAGTAGAAAGTGGTTTAATTTATTCGGCTCTTAAATTATAGAAAAGGGTAATTAAGGGGGAGAAAATGAAAAAGAGTCTTTCAATTACAAAAAGTAAATTTTATATTTCTAATTTCACTGTAGTAATGAGCCACAGTCTATGCCATATCTTCTTGAATTTAGATATAGATCTTTAGCATCCCCCAGCAGACTTCACAAACAGTTATAAGTATGTGCAATAGTGCAAAAGGGTGATGTCCACACAAAATATAATAATCACCTTGGAGGAAATTGTGAATAGTCTTGTGTGTGAGATGTAAGAGTAGAGGATGATGTATGTTTGTTTTGTTTTTATCTCTTTTAAGTGTGGGGGGCCACACCAGTGGGAGAAGTGGACATCGATCAAGTTGCTCTGGACGTACCTCTTTTCCATCAATGATGACACCGGTACCTGCAAAATGTGCCTTCTTTCCTTCTTTCTTTGCAGCTTCAATCATGGGCCACAGCTTGTTTCGCATTGCTTTGTCATCAGCAGTTAAATCTTCAGCGAATCTCAGCTTATTATTTTTGAGGTATTCACTTTTTTTTGCCGTTCTCCAAAGGTCTCTTGTAGATCTATTCATGAAGCGGATAATGGTGGTCCTGGGTCTGTTTGGTGTCCCCTGGTGTTTCCCTAGGCGGTGGACAATGTCAATATCATCTGCAATTTTCTGCTGAGAGCCAGGTACCATAGCATAGCAGATGTTGATAACCTTGGCCTTGATATCTTCTGGATTGCCTTCAGGGACACCATGGAGTCTGAGGTTCCATCTCCTACCATATCTTTCAGCCTCATTGACCTTGAGTTGCAGGTCTGCTATTTGCTGTTCATATCTTTCACTGGCAATTTTGACTTCCTTCATATCAGTCTTTAGTGATTCAACTTCTGCAAAGGCGAAATCAACTGACTTCTTCAGGGCTTCAATGCTCACTGCGTTCCTGGTGACCATGCCCTCCAGGTTATCTGCACGCACATTAATTGCGGCGACAATGTTGTCCTGCAAATCAGTTAAAGACATCTCAGCCTTTTGTTTTTTCCTTTTGGCTTAATCGGTGTATCAGTGGCAGATACAGGCAGAGGAGTAAGAT